CACGATTGTGGGACATCAAAACCATGCCAGAGCGCTCAAACTGCAAGCATGCAGTGAGCGTGCGCAATGCGTAAGCGGCATGGCTCATCCTGTAGAGCGCTCAATATGACCTAAAGGCCATAGAGCGATATCTAACTATATATATATATATATATATATATATATATATATATATATATATATATATATATATATATATATATATATATATATATATATCTATATATAGATATAGATATATATATATATATATATATATAAATAGCTATATATTCATATATTTTCACTTTTGTAAATTCAATAGTAATTCAGTTCACAAGACTGTAAATATTGATTCAATTAAACGTTCTGTCTATCTATATCTATCTATCTGTCTATCTATCTATATCTATCTAATAGGAAAGTGGTTTCTTAGGAAATTCCGAGGTTGCGTTTTTTTTATACACCCTGTATATTATAGATTTAAACAAGCAACGTGTGAATCTTAATTTACCACAACAATGGACTTGTAACTCGCTGTATACTTTTCTTTGTTCAAAAAAACCATAATAGGGCCATTTATACGGGCGAAAATAAGCCGCGGTCTAAATAAGCCGCGTCTTAAATAAGTCGCGAACGACTCGTATAAACAGCCAATTTGCAATAAGCAGCGGCTAAAATAATCCCAGGCTTGAAATCTAGGCCTAAATAAGCCGCGGCTTATTGCGAATTGACTGTTTATACGAGTTGTTCGCGACTTATTTAAGCCGCGGCTTATTTCGGCCGCTGGGGTTGCAAAGGGGGTTAATTTTCATTGGTTTTAGATCCAACTGGCTCAACGGTAAAAACGTGCGAATTTTTTATCATACTCGTACTTGCTTATTTTTTATCAACCTCGTACCCAGGGCTTCTGTGCTTACAAACTTTATTTAATCTAGCACAGGCCCCTCCTGGGATTTTATCGGCCCCCTTGATTAGAAATCCTGGCTACATCACTACTGAATTCCACTGCCAGTGGTGTTAGCCTGATTGGATAGAGTAGGTTAACCTGAACTAGTGTGTATTATGAGATAATCCATTGGGCAAGAGTACTCTCTCCCAACACATAAAATCATCGGGTATTAGGCAGTCAGAGTAAAATAATAAAGTAGGGTAGATTGCATGGGGTGCAATGCATAACTTAATATAAGTCAGAACTGAATGACAAACAATATTTCATAATAAACCCAAATTAGTTCAGCATCACTGTTTTTTATAATACTGTTCATTCTAATGCTGGAACATCAATTGTCATTACTTAAAATGTACTTCAGTTTAGTTAACAAAAGTTGGGGTTTCATCATATATGGCATACATATATATGCACTATTGCGTGCTTATAACAAGCTATATGACAGTTTTTAATTCTCAACATTCCCAGGCCATTATTCTCAAGATTTGCCATTAAGATTTTCCAAATAAGTACATGATTGTACTTCACTGTTCATTTTACAGGCATTCTTCAAGTAGATACAGCCTTTTGGTTTGCAGTATTTATTGTGATCACCAGTATTAATAGAGCAGAAAATATTAAAATATCTTGCAACATCTCATTCAAAACAGTCAAATCCAAGATAAACGGCAGCCAGCCATGTTACCAGTAAGATTTTTAATTTGTTGATTTTGAAATGGCTAAGGTTTTTCTCGAGTATAAATATTTATACTTTACTGAATAGCCCCTGTATATCGCTGACCAGGTATTGCCGCTTTTGTCGCCGCGCTATAAGATGTTCTTTTGCCCATCAAAGGGCTTACTTTACACATAATTGTATCTCTAAATTGATCATTCTTGACTTTAAAGTCCAAAAGCCGCACGAGAAACAGTTTAAGACGTCTTTACAAGTCCAAATTTATCATAAATTGCAACAAATAATGCATTCGTCTCATATTTGCTAAAATTAATCGAAAATATAACCGTTTCAGAATCGGAAATGGAAATATCTTGGAGTCGATGTATCATATGCCAAAGAACCACAACAGAAGATTTAAGAAGTCCTCTTAGATCATGTGGTCCATGTTATGACCCCATATCAGTCTATGCCTCTTTTCTTCAGAATGTTCTTGAGTTTAGCTCACTAGGTGCTCTGCCAGTCAATGTTCCCTTCGCTCTTGATATAGACACTGATGTTTTAATTAAAAATGAGGCGTCATGGCACAAGTCTTGCTATTTGAAATTCAATTTGTCGAAGCTACAAAAAGCCAAAGAAAGAGTATGTAGGAAAAGGGAGAAGGAAGAAGGCCAACCAGAAGAGGAGGAGAAAGCCCCGGCAGTAAAGAATCGACGAAAATCACTAACACACAATAAGGAGGACTGCATCTTGTGTGGTAAGGGGGGCCAGCTACATGAAGTCACCACTTTTTCGACCGACCAGAATATCCGTCGCATGATTACTGAAATTAACGATGCTACGCTAACGCCAAAGATCTCAGGAGTTGATCTCATAGCTGCTGAGGCCAAATATCACCTTAAATGTTTGACTGACCTAAGAAATCGGTATAGAAGTAAACTCACTAAAAAACGACAAGAATCTTGTGAAAAAGAGGACGAGAAGATTATGGAGTCTCAAGCATTCATTGAGTTGGTTGAGTATATTGAGAACTCTGTCGAGGAGAACAAGCTTCTTTTTAAGCTATCTGAATTGCATTCACTTTATATAAGTCGCCTTGAAGCTTTGGGCGTTTATAAGACTGTAAATAAAACTCGACTGAAGAATTCATTGTTAGATCAGTTTCCTGATGCACAAGAGCAAAATGATGGGAAAAATCTTGTCATAATTTTCACGAAAGCATTACAGGGTATGGTTAAAGATGCAATCAAGAAAAGGGACTTCTCTGAGGACGCCACGATACTGGCCAAGGCGTCCTCAATTGTAAGAAGGGACATATTTAAGAATAAAGGCTTCAACTTTTCTGGCAATTTTACTACAGGTTGTCAAGAAACGTCCACCCCAGCAAGTCTGAATTCGCTCATTTATATGATCCTGAGTGGCTTGGACATTGAGAACACTGAAGCACAAGATTCCCAGCCATGTTTAACTGTGTGCCAGACGATAATTTTCAATGCAAAGGAACGAAGAGGAAAGTCAACAACTGGCCAGACACGACATACCAAGTCCCGCGAACCACCACTCCCATTATACATCGGACTTAACATACACGCAACAACAAGAAGCAAGGCGCTAATAATGAAGCTTTATGAGCTGGGGCTGTCGGTCTCATACCAAAGGATCATGGAGATAGAGGAATCCCTTGCCAGCTCCATAAGCGAGCGATTTGTTGCTGATGGATGTGTAGTACCTGCTAGTTTGAGAAAGGGACTGTTCACGATAGGAGCGCTGGATAACCTTGATCATAATCCGAGCTCGACAACCGCTACATCATCATTTCATGGCACTGGCATCAGCCTCTTTCAGCTCCCAACGGCTGGAAATCATGGGGAACTCAGAGATCCGATCCGCTTACCATCACATGGATCAGCACCAACAGTTCTGTAATACCAGCAAGGATCACGAAAGAAACAGGGTTGTCTTTGAACTTTGAGAAAGGAGAAGAAAAACGATGGATGGAGGAGACCCTTGTTAAATTTGACAAAGAAAACGTTGTTGCTGATGATAAGTTAACGTGGGCAGCCTTTCACTCGGCAAAGCAAGTCGAAAAAGACCCACCAGCATTAACTGCACTGTTACCCATTTTTTACGAGAAGGCAGCAACGCCAGCAATGATAAAGCATGGGATGGACGTAATACGACAGGCGACAACCTTTCTGAACCCGGGCCAGGTCCCAGTCATTACTGTAGACCAACCTCTATTTGCCTTGGTGAAGATGGTGCAGTGGAAGTGGCCGACGTCACACGGAGAGCAGGCATTCGTTGCGATGATGGGTGCATGGTCTCCACGTTGAGATGGCACTATGGAGTGTAGTTGGCGACTTGCTAGATGGGTCAGGATGGACCACCGCCTTGACAGAAGCTGACGTGGCCTCGTCTGGTGTGGCAGATTCATTCCTGAAGGCATCACATCTAACAAGAACAAGGTATGTTTGAATTCCTGTTCATATAACTAGTTGTTTTCTCAGCCAGTGAGAGTTGCTTTTATTGTTATGAAACCGTAACTGTATGCTTTTAAATTTCAGGCATGCTCACCAGGTTACATCTCTTGCCCTGCATATGCTAAAGAAAGAGGCATTTTCGACGTGCGCTGATGACACTACAATGGCTACATGGGAGGACCAGAGAAAAACAAGGAGCCCGACGTTTCTCTTCTGGGATCTTATCTTGAAGTACGAGACCCTGGTTCTACTTTTTGTACGTGCACATCGCCAGCGTAATTTCACCCTGTACGTCGAGACCCTTGAAGAGTTAATACCATTATTCTTTGCACTGGATCACATGAACTACGCCAGGTAGGCACCCATCCATCTTCGAGACATGAAGTCCTTGCCTGAATCAATCTCCAAGGTGTTTCAAGAGGAAGGACGATGGGTATTGTCGAAGACGGGCAATCGGTTCTCTGCGATCCCTTTTGACCAGGCGCACGAGCAGGAGAACAAGGTCGTAAAGAGTGCAGGAGGAGCCGTTGGCCTTACGGAAAACCCTGTAGCCTTTAGGTAAACTTTAATATATAATTATAAAAACTTCATGTTACAACTGAATTCGGTGCATCGCGAAATTCATTTCCAAAATGCTGGTTTTGTTTTAGACCTTAAAAATAGCATAGTAAATCAATCCAATCCATTCAAGCGATTCCTGTATTGACAGAAATCCATTTGACTGCATTAGGGGACAGGGCAAGTAATTGATAACAGGGCAAGTAATTCATTGTCCTGGACGGTTTAATCGACTATGCGCTCTTATGAAAACAAAAATGGTCGCGATGCATTGAATTCAGTTTGCAAGACAGACAGTTGTTCTGAAAAATCTGAATGCTTTAGTTACAAAATATGGATTAATAGATCTAAAAGCAATATTTTTTTAAAAAAAAAAGTTTCAGCTGAGCAATTATTATTTTTTATTTTCTATTTTCAGACGATGGATGCTTTCGGGCCCTGAGACAACAAGGCTTCTGCACCAGTTTGAAAGTCAATATCTAGAAGATAGCGACGAGCGTGGTGGACGTCTCAACCACGAAATGGGCCTCAGTGCGCAAAAGACGTTTAAGCAGCAGATGAATAAACTAGTAGATGTAATGAGAAAGATGGGAAACCCTTTCCTCGACGACTTTCCTGAGTTGGTTACACTGGATAGCCGTGATTGTGCAGACGATGACGTAGCTAAGGCAGTGAAGAACCTCGACACCCTTGGTCAGACCCAGTACAGGGAATATGTCAAGACAGTTATAGAGGATCGGACGATCTCCATTCACAACACCATTAAGAGAAACAATATCCCCCTTTACAAGAAACGACCCCTGCGAAACAAATCTAAACAGACGAAGAAAATAGCTGCACTCCAAAATAATGTTGCACTCTTTGCACAGCTGTACATAGCCATGCAGAGCCGTAATGCTGACCTCGAGGAGTTCTTCAGCCATGAAGTTCAACCATTCCCTCCCTCCTTATCGGAATTCGGCAATCTTCGCCTACCAAGCGCTAAATCGGAACTCCTCAAGTGCCTTATTCCATCGACTCAGGCAGAGCCTCCCACGCAATTTGACTGCAGTGTTCTAGACGGAGCTGTCGTGGTCCATTGCCTCCCCGTAACTGGTTCGAACACCTTTGATGATTACGCCCATAACGTCTTCATTCCACACCTCAGCAGACAGAGAAGTACAAGAGTGGACGTCGTCTGGGACACATACATACCTAATAGTCTCAAGGAGTCCACCAGGGAGAAGCGAGGCAAAGGCGTTCGACGGAAAGTAGATGGGGGTACTAAACTACCATCCAACTGGGTGTCATTCCTGCGTGATCCGTTAAACAAAGAAGAGTCTCTCTCCTCCGCAGAGGCTTTAATTGAGCCTCTGCACGATGCCACACCCAATATGGCGGTAAACCGGGGGGGCGTATAATTATCAAACGCAAAATTCGAGTCAAAATATGACTGAGAAAATATCTCTTTACAATACTGCAACAAGCTGACAAAGAGATTATTTACTAGCTCTACGAAATAAGAAAGTGTTATGTTCAGTTTGCGAGAAAACATCTGCATTTTTTCTACACAAGGTCTCCATCTACAGTATAAAACAATGCACGGAAACAACGTTTTAGCGAACAGGTTTTGGTTGCAAGCGAAGAAACGTTTATTCAAATTTATATTTGACATTTGTATTTTTAGAAATGTGTCCAAAACCGCATAAAAGAAAAAAATGAGTATGTATAGCATACCGAACCATTATTAAATTTATTATCAAGACTGAAAATACAATTCAACTATTTCAACTTCAGCAATATTTATAAACAAACGCGACCTTCAGTCGGTTTCGACCTAATTTATTTAGAGGTTCGTATCTTTGGTTCAACATACGCTATGTAAATGAAAATACCACCGTTCGATTCAGTACAAAAATATCTCCTAGTTTATATCGATACTTTTAGTGAAATGTCAACACTACAGCGATTTATGACCTTTGAAAGTCAAGCGGGATTTTGTATATTAATATCAAATCACGCAATGTTTACACTTGATAAAAATATAAACTAGGCAAAGTAGGCATACCTTTCGGCGAACATAACTTCGGATCCTTGGGACGCATCCTCCTTGTATTACTCTTGTTCGAAAGCGAATTCAAAACACTACTTAGAGTGCTATTTTTGAGCTTGTATCTTGAAAACTTCATCTTTTATTATGGTATGTCCATTCCTGGTCTGATTGTGCACTAATTCCCGAACATCAGCGTGTGACAGGCGCGTGCGACATTGCGAGTAAAAACCCGATATTTTGAAAAATTAAAAATAAATATTTCTACTGGCCGTATTCAAAAGAAATTTTCTACACGAAAGCGCTTGAATACAAGGAGTATTTTACTTCTTTGACTGGTGGCGAATTCCAAAGAGTTAAAGAAATATTCAAGTTTTTCTCGATACGAAATACAGAATGTTTGGCCAAGCGGTGAGTAAAATATACGATTGTTTGCTTTGTGTATTATTAAATGTTAAAAAATATTACTTTTGACCATCCACAAACATGCAAGCACTAGTCAATGAGGTCAATCAATCATGCATTAAATAATGATTTAATTTTCAAAAAGACATTTCTTGTTTAGCTTAAAAATCACCTTTTGTTTCGATGTTTACACTTTGTCCCACTTTGTCCCACTTTGTCCCACTTTGCGATGCAAATCGTGCAGAGGCTTCGCGCCTTCCTTCGCCTTTCCCTTTGCCGCCTGCGCTCCTTCGCCCAGCGGCTACGCTCGTGTTCCAAGATCCGCCATGTAAAGTGTAGTGAAATGTATCTCATCGTAATATTAAATCCTAAGAAAACTAAAGCCTCTGCGGAAGAGAGAGAAGAAGAGTTGTTTCACTTCCTATCGTTGAAGGTTGCTAGACATAACTGGCCAGAGAGGAAGACAATCCATGTTACATCAGGTAAACATGCAACACATATGTCAGCTATGATACTCAACCAAATTATGTTGTAGGCGTCATACAACAAAGTTAATTAACTAACAAATCTTTTGAACAAGCAAGCCTCCTAAGTGTTCTACTAATAATAATAATAATAATAATTTATTAATTTATAAAGCGCTAAAACTATAAATATTCTAAAGCGCTATCATTACAAATTCAAATAAAATGTTATAAAGTATGAGATGATACCTATATATACATGTTTAAAAATTACTATTATATTTAAAGATAAAATGCCTTTTTTAAAAAGAAAGGTCTTAAGTCTGTTTTTAAAAGTTTCCACTGTTGACGCCTCACGAATGTCAGCGAGAAGTTCAAATTTACTATTATATTTAAAAATAAAATGCCTTTCTAAAAAGAAAGGTCTTAAGTCTGCTTTTAAAAGTTTCCACTGTTGACGCTTCACGAATGTCAGCGGGAAGTTCATTCTACAAAAATGGACCAGCTTTGGCAAAAGCTCTGTCGCCAAACATTTTCCTCATTGTCTTAGGAACTATCAGCAAATTTTGCTCATTCGAGCGCAGGCTGTAGCAACCAATATGCTTAGGTGTCAGAAGGTCTGAGATATAAGGCGGTGCATTAGCACGAAGAGCCTTGTACACCAGCAACAAAATCTTGAAAATCACCCGATACCGTACAGGAAGCCAATGAAGGCCAATCAAAACGGGAGTAATATGATCGAATTTGGGGATTAAACAGACCACACGTGCTGCAGCATTGAGAACTCTTTGTAACCTATCATATTGAGACTGTGGAGACCATAAAACAATGAGTTACAGTAGTCCAGGTGTGAAGTAACAAAAGCATGAACCAAAATCTTTGTTGTATCTTCTGAAAGGAATTTCCTTATCTGCCGGATATTATAGAGGCTGCGAAACGCCTTACTACACACTTTTCCAATGTGAATATCCATCGACATATGTGAGTCAAACCACATTCCGAGGCTTTGAACCACCTCCACAAGCTCGATCGTAGATTCACCAACTGTAATTTCATTGATGTTAATCTTTGACATTTGCTGCTTTGAACCGATGATAATAAATTCAGTCTTGGAATCATTTATCAAGAGACGGTTAGAAAGCATCCAGGCACGAATGTCAGCAACACAGTTTTCAATACTCTTTAGTGCAGCATCTTGTGATAAAGATGTATCCGGCCGAAACGAATGATAAATCTGGGTGTCATCTGCATACGTATGTGCATAGACATAAGACATAGACTAAGACATAAACGCACATCAATGCTCCATTCTAGGACCTTTGTTGTTTTTGGTTTATGTGAATGATCTACCAAGTTGCATTATTAATAACTCGAATATTGCACTTTTCGCTGATGACTCGAAATTGTATCGGGCGATGGACATAAATTATGACCATAACTTACTTCAAGCCGATTTAGACTGTCTACATACATGGAGCCTCAGTTCGGGATTAGACTTCAATTCGCGGAAATGCAAAGTATTACATATTTCAAAGAAAAGGTTAACTCGGGAAATGAATGGAAATTACAGTCTTGGTGACCAACCGATTGAGTGTGTGCGTTCATTTGTCGACCTCGGGATTACTATATGCCACAATTTATCGTGGGCAGATCATATTGAGAAAATTGTTGTTAAAGCTAACAGGACCCTTGGGCTAATGAAAAGGATTTTCCGTGATTTGCAAGATATACAAACTAGAAAAATAATATACTGTGCTCTTGTACGACCCAAGCTGGAATATGGTAGTAGTCTTTGGTCGCCTTACATCAAGAAATACGTGAAATTAATTGAAAATGTCCAGAGAAGAGCTACCAAGTTTATTCTAAACTATCCTGAAGATATGAAGTATATTGATAGATTGATAAAACTAAACTTATTGCCTTTAGAACACCGTAGACAAATTTCAGACTTAACATTTTTCTTTAAATCGAGAAATGGCTTGGTAACCACCGACATTAATAAATTTTTGACAGTGTTTGAGCCCGGGTATCGAACACGTAATTATGACATAAATAACTATAATCTAATTATAAAACATAAGCAAGATTATTACAGGAAATCTTACTTCATAAGAACAGCCGAACTCTGGAACACTTTGCCATCTCAGGTGAAACAGTGCGAATCCATTCGAACATTCAAGACTGCCATTTATAACTTTTATTCATCTAAGTGTTTGGACTATTGTCCTCCTTAGTATAGTATTACCTACTCGCTTATTTATTTATTTGATTTTATAATTTATTGTTGTTTCTCCGATATTTTTGGAGTTTTATGTAAAGGGGTTTTGTTGCAATTGGGACGCAAGTCCTCTTCAAACTCCTGTCATATACTTATAATTAATGATATTATATGTAATATATGGCAAATTCATTAAACTAAACTAAACTACCGAAATAATTTTTCTCCAGGTACTCCTGTGATTTCCATTGGCTCTGCGACCGCAATGACAAATTGTACTCACGAAGAGGCGGATACGAGGATTGTGGTCCATATCCTTCATGCCATCCAAGTTGAAAAGGCAAAAACAGTCCTCGTCCGAACCGTGGATAACGATGTCCTAGTCATCTTGGTGGGAAAGCTTCATGACCTGAAAGAAGTCCAGCCGGAACTTGATCTGTGGCTTGCCTTTGGTATGGGTCGAAACTTTCGCTTCATCAGCGTCTGCCTGTATTCCACGCATTAACTGGATGTGATACCACCTCCGGCTTCTTCGGGAAAGGAAAGAAGTCGGCTTGGCAGGCATGGGAGATCTTTCCAGAGGTCACGCCCACATTCGAAATGCTTGCCAAGACGCCATTTATGCAACTTACGACAGACTCGCCCCTCTTCAAACAGATCGAGAGATACACGGTAATTATGTACGATAAGCTCAGTCCCTTATCTGACATCAACCTGACCCGGATGGAGTTATTCTGCAAGAACGGTAGAACAATGGACAAGCTCCCGCCTACACAGGTAAATATTACTTGTTTCTTTATCGTAATTTTTCTAGGTTTCACCTAACAGGGGCGGACATGAGGGGAAGGGCTCAAGGTTACCTAGCCCTTAAACTGGTACTATTCACAACGAACCGTCTTTCTATGAGACTAGTACCAATCTCTTCCTAACTAATCCTTAATAACATCGACACTGTTGTTATTTGCAGGATGCCCTTTTGCAGCATGTTCGTCGCGCCGTTTTCCAGGCCGGGATCTGGACAGTCAGCGATCAGCCACAGCCACATGTGCCATCACCAGGGCAGTTCTCGTGGTCTGAAGACGATGGCAAATGGGTTCCGAAATGGATAACCATACTCGAAGTATCCAAGGCTTGTAGTGAGCTCATAAAATGCTCTTGCAAAGGCGCGTGTACACGATGCAAGTGTGCCAAGGCTTCCTTGGTATGCACCCCCCTTTGCAGATGCCAATGCCTATCCTAAAAGTAACTGCATGAAGGTTAAATGATAATCTGAAGAGTTTCAGCGATCGATCATTGTTTCCGTTATGAAAAAAAAACTCTAGTATATGGCGTTAAAGTTGAAATTTGATTATTCTTACCGAGAAGGGACTGGGAACTAGTATATATCTAAAAGCCTTATGTAATATATAAATGATGTCTCATAATGAAATATGCGAAAAAACGAGTAAGCATAATAGTTTCAGTCAATAAATGTCACTACTGCATTTCTTGTTAGCTGTTTTAGATGAAAACTGCAAAACAACACAGTAGCCCAATTCGTAATTAAGGTAAATTTTATAAGGCCCGTTAATATTTGTACGGTGAAGATTGCGTTGTGCTCCCCCTCTAATATTAATCAGTAGGTCCTAATGAACATCTCTGCCAAATTTGGCGCTTTTGTCACTTCTGTAACGATCCGACCCATATTAAGTCATAAGAGACCTGACTGGACATCCGCGAAAAAAATGCGTGCCGAAACCTAGAGTCGCTGTGGGCACAATGCCCCAGCGACTAATTAAAAATATAAAAATAAACAGGAAGTTAAGACAATTACTACAAAAAATAATCAAAACAAACACGAGTGGGAATAAGGTAAAGGTAAAGTAATAAATAGAGGTTGTCAATGTTTGCTATAGACAGGCAAGGACAGATGTCATCATACACAAACCAGAAGACATGTCTTCTGGATTGTCTATGATGACATTAAACATAAGAAAAGCGTTCATTATCGTTTTAAAAAAATTTTAAAAAGCGTTCATTAACGTTTTAAAAAAATGATAAATCGCTTGCATTGTATCGTAGACAATCAAAATTAGGTCTGACATGAGATTGTAAAACAGCGTATCTAACAGTGGTATTTTTGTCCCCATTGTATGCACTGAACGGAAGGTATGAACATGTAAATCTGTCAACCGCTAGAGGATGACGAAACTGCAGGGACGTGTCGAGAAATTAATTAGCTGAAATAAGACAACAACAAAGAGTTATTTGTTCAAATAGATGAACACCTCACAATGTGGTATCTAAAAGGTATTGTTAATGCATATTTTACCTCATGTTATTATTCAGAATACTTGCGAGTTCAACGAGGAAGTACAACAAAATATATTATTTTGATTTACTTCGTTCTCACATATTCTGGCTGTCTAGTCTGGTGCTTGGTACTTGATACTGATCCTAAAAGAGTTTATTGTGAAGAATGTAAGTGCATGGTAATCAATTTTCCTACCTTTATATAATTATATATTAATGCTCACAATAAAATGAAACTAAATACTGTTAATATAGTGTTGTGGACTGTCTCGAAGTATTTCGTGTTGGAGATTTGAAACTGACATGTGACAACCAGTTATCGCGGAGATGTTAGCTATAGAGATCTTAAGATTGACGTTTACGGCAGACCGCAAACCGTAACCGGCAAACTTGAAATCGTACGTAACTGAAGTTAGGATAATTTATCGATTGAATTTGAAGTGTGATTTGACTATACTTATAGCCGTCGAAAACATGTGGAACTTACCTCTAAATGTGTATATGCGTCAATCTTAACCTCTCTCTGCGCAAACAGTCTAGACTATTAATAAATGCCGTATCTATAATGTCTATAATGGACAATTATAAAGAAGATACTCTGAAATAAAAATGCCATCTTGTAAAGTCAAGATACGAGTTACTAAAAGAAAACAAGAAGAAAATTATGGTATTTCGACGCCATCTATTTTAGAGTCATTGTCAAACCAAACTTGTTATTTACCAACGTAGTTCTGTATTTTAAAAGTGTCCAAATTTCATCTATTTTTTCCCGGTTTGTACAAAAATAAAAAAAACAATTATCGTGTTGCCACGACTAACATGACGTGGCAACGCGAGCCTGCGTTCAGTGTGGCGTAATTACGAATACTTCATGTTGAAACAATGTTTGGAAAATATAAGCGAGGGGTTGTTGCATGTATATATTTCTAGTCTTCCTATATTTGTCCTCATAAAGATCTAGTATCAATTTCTAAAATACAGGATGTATAAAAAAAAACTGAACAGATTTGAAATTGCTCTCAATTTCGCAAAACACCTATTTGTATCCGGTTTTACATATATATAGCTTCTTTGGGTACTTATAATGTAGAATAATGAAAAAAATTTCTCAAACTGAAATTTTGTGAACCAGGGGGGGGGGGGTTTCTTTTCCAACAAACTGAAAATGGCTCGCGCACAAAATTTAATGTAATCGTATTTTGAGTTAATAGGTGGAAACTTTGTTGGCGAAAAGAAGCTATATATATAAAAAACCGGATACAAGTAGGTGTTTAGCGAAATTGAGAGCAATTTCAAATCTGTTCAGTTTTTTTTATACACCCTGTATATAAAGTAGGTATAATAGTTTGGTTTCTATGGGCTTTATTTTAATGTAAAATTAAAAACGAAACTCTACGTAAAACGTTTTTAAATGTGAATTGAAATCAACTGCTTTTTGCCGATGTTTATAAACTCTTCAACTTGAGCTTCAACTTGTTACTCGTACATTGAAATGAAATAAATTTAATTGAATTTCGTACAGCACGCTAAAGAAAATAATTTGATTTCTTTTTATCATGAACTTCTACAAAGGTTAATTTAACTAAGAAACGTCGCAATTTGTTATGTGAAAAAATTTTCCAAGCATTCTGACATGCATTTTTTATATTTTTGTTGCCTCTTCATTCCTGGCAAACAGCTACATTTTGAGATCAGTGAGATGACCACCCACCGAACTACGCACGGTAACTCACGCCCGCGATCATTGATGAACTTTAAGCCCTGATCAAGCGAGAACGCAAGTCATCGCAAGTAAACTTGCCCTGAATTGCGATGGGATCGATCCAACGATACGCAAGTTATCGCAACAATTTGCAATATTTGGCCCGTGCGCGGGTAATTTTGTAATTTTGCGAAGTTGCAAAAATGTAAACAAAAACATGGCCGTCTTTCAAACCCATTTAAAACGAATGTAAAAAACTTTTGAAAATGAAGCGAAAAGCTGCCACATAATTTTTTCTACTTGAAGACGAAACGTTCAGGCTTGGAAACGTGGAAAAACAAGAGAATGGATTAAGCGAAGACCAGAAAAAGGTTATTTTTATAACATCGTGCAGACCAGGGGCAGGGGCCTAGAGACTATGATTTCCTTTGGTTTTCATGGAAACTGGTCTCAAAAAACTTGCTTGAACTTGCACTTGTTGAACAAACGTATCGCAAGTGCTCGCAAGTTTAAAAAAGCTTGCGATGAATTTTGAATGTGATTTCGTGGGGGGCACAAATGTGATTTCGTGGGGGGCACAAGTGGGGACTGGGGGGGCAAATTCCCCCCCCCCCCAGCTTGTATGTTAAAAAAGGCCCTGATAGCTCATAATAAGTCTTCTCAAACATAACTCATAATAAGTCTTCTCTCTCATACTTCTTAACAACCTTTTGAATAGGACCTTTATGCCTGGAATATAGACACACACATACCGATATAGGTGACGCTCGGGCTCGGCGGATTAAAAAAATTAAAAACTGCGAGGAAATGAACCCGCTGCAACAACTTATAAAATGATTTTCAAAAGACTAACGATAACATTAATATTTATACTATTACTATATTAGTCTACTACTAGACTACAGTACTAGAATTCTAAAACAGTAATACTAGCCTACAAAAATAACGCAAGTAATCTTTATCCACTCCTATAATAGGCAATAGCATTAACAAATTGTTTTGTCTTATTTGTTTATTATCAATCGATGAAACGTCGGTTTAATGAACAAGTCAATCATCTCTTATCTTCTATGTGCTGAGTGGAACTATATATGAGAAATCGGAAATGTTCCTAAATTCATACTTTGTTTCAAAAATATCTTTCAAACTATCTTCATATACTATCTTTTCGACGAATTCTATCGTTTCCACACGTTTTGCTAATCCCGCATATGTTGGCCTTGTCCTTAGATTATGATAGTGTGTAGAAATGCTTGTATAATGCAGGATAATTCTCCAAAATGATTCCATCGCATGAGACGAAGATGCAACCCATCTTGGTGTCAAAATATTGTCTACTTTGCACAGCTGAACATCTAGTTCAGCAGCAATATTTTTCAGCTCTCTTTGCAGTTTTGCTGACTAATAATAAATCGTGTAAATCTTACCAAATAATCTTCAATAGGTTGGGTACCATCTACAGCTGTTATTGTATCAGAGACCTCGATCGTTAATTATCTAATGGAATCCCTTGATCACACCCGTAACAAATTCCCTGACTGTGGTATTGCCCTATTAGGAGACTTCAATAACCTAAATATATTTACTAACTAGTCATTTGTGAGCCAACCAGAGGCTCAGCTATCCTTGACCTTGTAATTAGCATGCAGCAGTTATAAAAAAAGCCCTTAATTTTGGCACCGGTGGGTTCATCTGACCATAATATTGTTAACTGGCGCCCAGATGATAATGCCCCTAGACTTCACGGAAAAGTAATCAATCGTCTCTTTTCTCAATCTCGGCGAGCAGCTTTTGGCCGATGGTTGACCTCACACGATTGGAATCCAGCTTTAACGGAAGGGTCAGTTGAAGAACTGGCTTCCGACTTCACTGAATGAATTACACAAGCTATGAATATCTTCTTCCCCCTGCAGACAGTTAAACTCCTCAGTAATGATAAACCTTGGATGTCGGTATCTATATTAAACAAATTACTGCTCGTCAGCAAGCCTTTTTTGCGGTACTGACCTCTGGCGTCATTATAAAAGCAAAGTAAAATACACAATCCAACTCAAGAAAAAGAATTTCTATTCTGATAAAGTACGGCACCTTAAAAAGAGTGACAGTGGATCTTGGTAGAAATTGATTAACCAACTGTCTGGTAGATCAAATACTACTGCACCAATCCACCTCGAGGAGGAGGATGCCCTATATATGCCCCCATATATTTCAACCCCTAACATGAGTAAGTTACGAGCTTACCTACCTACTGCGGATCAATTACTCATTATCCATCCTTACCAAGTTCGTAAAAAATTGCTCTTAAGGTAATTACGCAGTTTTGCATTGCGCACTTTTACTGCGCACATCTTATAACTTATAATTTCATCCATTATACGTACCGTTTAAAACAAAATATCATTTTATGACAATGTTATGTTACTTCAAAACATCCTTGGTTACATTCGTGCAAATAATTACGTTAAAATCAATGTTTTCAAAAAAGGCATACAAAAGTGTAGTTAGGGTTCCCTGTGTCTGTAGTATATTTATTTACTTGTATTTGACGTTTTAATGCCACAATTCCCTAAAAAGATCGGTGACCCCCGTTTTTTAACTGATAATTTATTTCTTTAATGCATTTTACATTTCATATCCGAAATTAAAAGAAAAATCATTTCTGGATCTTGAAAAAAAATGCTTTATCAATGCATGTTCTCAAAGAAAGATATGTAAAGAAATGTGCAAAAGACATTTGTGGATCAGAATTGTACACGTTAGTAGTTTCATTTTGCTCAAAACACAATATTTTTTCAAAAATAATTACAAGATAGGTTTACTAAAGCAAAATCCGCGCTAAAAACGTCAATAAATATCGGGCTGTTGTGAGTTTGCTGTTACTCGTAATGAGCGTCAAGATGGCGCCATATTGGGGTAAAGGTGGTATATTGTGATTGTCATATCTTCTTAACGAGTTCGGTGACCCCGACTTTTTTGTGTGATTTTACTTTAAGTATATCATAAAATCCATGCCTGGAAAGTTTCAGCACATTCTCATTTCGGGAACAATTACTGCGGAATTACCTTAAGTCTTAACCCTTTTAAAACCGCTGGGCCTGATAACATACCGCTTCGCATGCATTCTTAAAGGATTCGCTTACGAACTGTCTGACCCACTTGCAGATATTTCCAACCTGTCTTTATTTTTGGCTACTACCCCTTCTCACTGGAAATGTGCGAATATTTCCACGAGTCCAAAAGAGACATTCCAAAAATAAAAGATCTACGACCAATTTCATTAACGTCGTGTATATCAATAGTCCTGGAGGAATTCGTGGTTGAATGGATTTTGGAAGATATCGGAAATGAAATCGACTCTAAACAATTTGGATGCCTGCGTGGTTCATCTACATACTACTCTATGCCTACTTGACATGTTTCATTTCTGGTTATCCAAACTTGACGCTGATGGATGCTCACTACGGATTGCTTTACTAGATTTTAGTAAGGCATTTGACAGAATTAACTTAAACGTACTGAATTCTTTCAGTATTGATGCAATGTACTCAGGTGAATATGATGCTCGTGATGTTACTCTGAGTGTATATCCACACCGGGCAAGCTTAAAAAATATGCCTGGCCACGGTGGGAATCGAACCTACGACCTTTGGATCGGAATACTAGTCCAATGCTCTGCCAACTGAGCTACGCGGTCAGGTCGGTTCGAGTATGTGATATTTCGGACATACTGATTACTAAACTGATCGACATGGGGCTTCGTAGATCTATTATTCTATGGACATGTGACTTTTTGTCTGATCGCAGATAGAGAGTTAAAATTGGGGAATCAATGTCCGATTGGGCAAAAGTAAATGCCGGTGTCCCCCAGGACATAAAATTAGCTTCCATTTTGTTTATGGTTATGCTCAACGACCTAAAAACCATTAGAGTCAGACCATTGGAAGTATGTAGATGATCTTACCATTTCAGAAGTCATTCCAAAACATATAGCGAATCTAACATGCAATACGAACTACAATCGTGCCCAAAACTATTTTGGAAAACATATTTTCTCTCATTCCCTGTCTTCTTTCCCCTCCCCCCATTAGTAATGTTGATTATCTTGACAGCACTACCTTGTGCAACACAAAAATAACAATTTCCAAATTGATATGGGGGAAGGGGGGAAGAGCGGTTCACATATCACTGAGAAACTGAGAAAAAATGCATTTTCCAAAAATTTTTGCGCAGGATTGTAGATCATATTTCAAACTGGTCCGACCAAAACTATGTGAAACTTAATCCAATATAGTGTTGAGAATTGAGAGTTAATTTCCACTAGCATATAGATGGTGTAAAGAGGGGGCCAAGACAATAACTTTGTGAAACCCCCCAACTTTTAAGTCAAACTTCTCAGAGACCGACGCATGCATGGAGACTCTCTGTGATCTTCCTTTAAGATAGGATCAAAAGATCCACAGTTTGGTGGACATGCGTTCAATAAAAATATCATGATCGATAGTGTCAAAGGCAGCGCTAAGATCCAAAACCACAAGGAGCGTCAAGTGTTGATTGTTCGTATTAAGTTACCGATTTACATGTCGATCTCTGTGTCATGCAGTGTATATGACATAATATAATACAATGGGTTCCTACACGGCAAAAAACGATCAGGTTGTTGCAATATTGATGAAAACAGGATTGAACTTTTTTTTGGTGCCCACGTTGTTCACAGTTGTCAACAATATTGAACAATATTGTTACACCCGATTCAAGCTAAACAATATTGTTCATTGTTGTTGACAAGTGTGCAGCGTAGGGTATTAACATATTTTCTAGTGAATGTACGACAAAAATAGCAATTAGCCTTTTCTCAAAATAGATCATGATTGTGCATTCTGGGATAGTTTGGAGGGACAAAATATATGATGACAGGCGTCAAATATATGAAAGAGTAGAAGTATCTACTATAATATATCAA